AAGAGTTGTTTGTAGTAATCTCTGATAGTAGTTTGTATTTCTGTGGAATCGGTGGTGATATCCCCTTTATCATTTTAAATTGCATCTATTTGATTCTTCTCTCTTTTCTTTTTTGTTAGTCTGCCTAGTGGTCTATTTTGCTGTTCTTTTCAAAAACCAGCTCCTGGATTTATTTGATTTTTTTTTTTGAAGATTTTTTTGTGTCTGTCATCTTCAGTTTTGCTCTGATCTTAGTTATTTCTTGTCTTCTATGAGCTTCTGAATTTGTTTGATCTTGCTTCATTAGCTCTTTTAATTGTAACTATAGGGTGTCAATTTTATATCTTTCCTCACTTCTCAGGTGGGTATTTAGTACCATAAATTTCCCTCTAGACACTGCTTTAAATGTTTCTCAGAGATTCTGGTATGTTGTGTATTCATTCTCATTGGTTTCAAAGAACATCTTTATTTCTGCCTTCATTTTATTATTTATCCAATATTCATTAAGGAGCAGGTTGTTCTGTTTCCATGTAGTTGTGCGGTTTTGAATGAGTTTCTTAATCCTGAGTTCTATTTTGATTGCATTGTGGTCTGAGAGACTGTTTGTTATGATTTCCATTCTTTTACATTTACTGAGGAGTGATTTACTTCCAATTATGTGGTCAATTTTAGAGTAGGTGTGATGTGGTGCTGAGAAGAATGTATATTCTGTGGATTTGGGGTGGAGAGTTCTGTGGATGCCTCTTAGATGGCTTGGTTCAGATCTGAGTTCAAGTCCTGGATATCCTTGTTGATTTTCTGTCTGGTTGATCTGTCTAATATAGGCAGTGGAGTGTTAAAGTCTCCCACTATTATCGTGTGGGAGTCTAAGTCTCTTTGTCGGTTGTTCAGAACTTGCTTTATGTACCTGGGTGCTCCTGTATTGAGTGTGTATATATTTAGGATAGTTAGCTCTCCTTGATGCATTGATCCCTTTAACATTATGTAATGCCTTTCTTTGTCTCTTTTGATCTTTTTTGGCTTAAAGTCATTTTTATCAGAGACTAGGATTGCAACCCCTGCTTTTTTTTTCTTTTTACTCTCCATTTGCTTGGTAAATCTTCCTCCATTCCTTTACTTTGAGTCTATGTGTGTCCTTGCACATGAGATGGGTTTCCAAAATACAGCAAACCAATGGGTCTTGACTTTTTTTTTTTTTGAGATGGAGTTTCGCTCTTGTTGCCTAGGCTGGAGTGCAGTGGCGCGATCTCAGCTCACCTCAACCTCTGCCTCTTAGGTTCAGGCAATTCTCCTGCCTCAGCCTCCTGAGTAGCTGGGATTACAGGCATGCACCACCACGCCCAGCTAATTTTTTGTATTTTTAGTAGAGATGGGGTTTCACCATGTTGACCAGGATGGTCTCGATCTCTTGACCTCATGATCCACCTGCCTCGATCTCCCAAAGTGCTGAGATTACAGGTGTGAGCCACTGCGCCTGGCAGGTCTTGACTCTTTATCTAATTTGCCTGTCTGTGTCTTTTGATTGAGGCATTTAACCCATTTACATTTCATGTTAATATTCTGATGTGTGAATTTGATTCTGCCATTTTGATATTAGCTGGATGTTTTGCCCATTAGTTGACAGAGTTTCTTCATTATATCAATGGTCTTTACCATTTGGTACATTTTTGCAGTGATTGGTACTGGTTGTCCCTTTCCATGTTTAGTGCTTTCTTCAGGAGCTCTTGTAAGGCAGGCCTGGTGGTGATGAAATGTGTTGGCAATTGCTTGTCCATAAAGGCTTTTATTTCTCCTTCACTTATGAAGCTTAGTTTGGTTGGATACGAAATTTTGTGCTGAAATTTATTTTCTTTAAGGATGTTGAATATTGGCCCCCACTCTCTTCTGGCTTGTAGGGTTTCTGCTGAGACCTCCACTGTGAGTCTGATGGGTTTCCCTTTGTGGGTAACCTGACCTGTCTCTCTCACTTCCCTTAGCCTGATTATGTGCCTTGGGGTTGCTATTCTTGAGGAATACTTTGTAGTGTTCTCTGTGTTTCCTGGATTTTAATGTTAGCCTTCCTTGCTAGGTTGGGGAAGTTCTCCTGGATAATACCCTGAAGTGTTTTCCAGCTTGGATTTATTCTCTCTGCTACATTCAGATACACCTATCAAACATAGATTAGGTCTTTTCACATAATCCCATATTTGTTGGAGGCTTTTTTCATTTCTTTTCACTCTCTTATATCTATTCTTGCCTTCTCATTTTATTTCATTGAGTTGATCTTCACTCTCTAATAGCCTTTCTTCTGCTTGATTGATTTGGCTCTTGAAACTTGTGTATGCTTCTCGAAGTTCTCATGCTGTGTTTTTCAGCTCCATCAAGTCAGTTATGTTCTTCTCTAAGTTGGTTATTCTAATTAGCATTACATGTAACCTTTTTTCAAGGTTCTTAGTTTCTTTGCATTGGATTAGAACATGTTCCTTTGGCCCAGAGAAGTTTGTCATTACCCACCTTCTGAAGCCTGCTTCTGTCAATTCATCAAACTCATTCTCCATCCAGTTTCGTTCCCTTGCTGGTGTGGAGTTGTTATCCCTTTGAGGAGGAGATACATTCTGGTTTTTGGTGATTTCATTCTTTTTGCACTGGTTTCTTCCCATCTTCATGGATTTATCTACCTTTGGTCTTTGAAGTTAATGACTTTTGGATGTGGTCTCTGAGTGGACTTCCTTTCTGTTGATTTTGAAGCTATTTCTTTCTGTTTTTCAGTTTTCCTTCTAACAGTCAGGCTCCTCTGTTGCAGGACTGTTGGAGGCCCACTCTAGACCCTGCTTGCCTGGGAATCACCTGCAAGGGCTGCAGAACACTGAGGATCACTGCCTGTTCCTTCCATTGGTAGCTTCATCCCAGAAGAGTACCCACCAGATGCCAGCCAGAGCTCTTCTGTAGGACATGTCTTTTTGGATATACAGGGGTCAGGGAGCCGCTTGAGGAGGCCATCTGTCCCTTATCAGAGCTCAAGTGCTGTGCTGGGTGCTCCATTGCTCTTCTCAGAGCTGCTTGACAGGAATGTTTAAGTTTGCTGCAGTGGAACTCCAAACTGCCCCTTTTCCCAGATGTTCTGTCCTGGGAAGGTGGAACTTTATTTTTAAGTCTGTGATGAGCTCCTGCCTTTTTTCAGAGATGCCCTGCCCAGCAAGGAGAAAGTCTAGTCACAGTCTGCCTACAGAGGCATTGCTGAGCTGCCACGGGCTCCACCCAGCTGCTGTGTAAACTTGCTTGCGATTTTGTTTACACAGGTAAGATTAGAACTGCCTGGCAATGGCAGACGCCCTTTCCCCTACTGAGCTCAACCGTCCTGGGTTGAGCTGAAACTGCTGTGCTGACTGTGAAACTCTTAAGCTAGTGAGTTTCAGTTTGCTGGTCTTTGTGGGGCAGGACCTGCCGAGCCAGATCAGTTGGCTCCCTGCTTTCAGCCCCCCTTTTTTTTTCAGGGAAATGGGTGGCTCTGTCTCACAGCAGGCACAGCTTAAAATGGCTGTCCCGATTTGGGCTGGAAGCCAGCGGCACCAGCTGAAATGGCCACCCCAATTTGTGCTGGAAACCCATGGTGCTTTTCGGCCTGGCAGGAATCTCCTGATCTTTGGGCTGTAGAGACCATGGGAGAAGTGTAGAATCTGAACTGGAGTGTCAGAGTGGCTGAAAAAGTACCCAGTGGCCTCTGTTGTGTAGGAGTGGGGTCCTCCAGCCTGTTGCACTTCCCAAGTGAGGTAGTGCCCCACCCTGCCTTGGTTTGTCCTCTTTTGCTACATCCACTGTCCAGCCAGTCTCATTGAGATGAACCTGGTATCTCGGTTGGAAATGCGGTGATCACTAGCCTTCTGCTTTGCTCTCACTGGGAACTGTGCTCTAGAGCTATTCCTATTCGGCCATCTTGGAATTCCTTAATATGAATTTTATTGGGAGGTGACTTTTACTCTCTTCTACATTTGTTTTACCAGTTTTTTGTAATATTTATAAAACTATGTATTACTTTTGTGATAAAAAATTAAAGTTTGGCTACACCAAAAGTAACCTTAAAAAAAGAAAAGAAAATTGGTATCAGCCCTATTTTTTAGAATTTATGTAAATGTACTGAAGTATACATATATAGTATAATTCTCATTCCAGATTATAGGACTAGTCTTTCTAAACAAATCAATCATAACGACATATTCTTTTAGCATCACCCTCACCCTAACCCATCTAGTGTGTAAAGTGTTTTGTATTTCATTGGATAAAAAGAGTTCTGGTGAGCAAAATCATGTACATGGAATACTTCACCAAATTCTGTCTTAGCAAGGCCCATTTCTTTCAGGTATGCTGCACAGATACATTTTCACGGCTTTTCACTTCCTGCAGTCATCCTCAAGGACTTAGCATTTACTCTGACCTCTTTTCCCTCTAAATATGGAAACTTCATATCAGATCACACTATCATTTTCAGTGATTTTAATGAGTTATGAAAGTCTGATCATATAAGACTCTTCCACCCATATCTTCCCCAATTCCCCACACTTTGCATTTCCCATTGCCTCTGGGCCTGAAGTTTCATTCATTTGAAAACTATTCTTGGAAAGATCTCCCCTCCTCCAGCTGTTAATCTGGCATTAAGGGACCATAAGTCATTCAGATATACTACACTATTATGCAACCTCAACAGAGTGGAAAAAATCATTTGCTTCACTGTCAATGTAAAAACTTTTATCTTCTTTGACAGTTTTATTTAGAAAACCTCAGCTTTATTTTAATTTGATTCTAATGATGGCTTTCAGAAAACGATTTGAGTAAGTAAAAGTTTAGTGCAATGACAGCTGTCATAATTTCTGTGGTGGCTTCTCTCAAGGAGTACTTATTGAGAAGATGCATTTCAAACACAGTGCATCATTTCTGGCACAGTGGATGGAAGTTAATTATTCAGAGCTGGTAATGTTGTAGTATTTACTCAGTGGGGAATTTAAGTAAGAAAGGTTCATTTGTTTTATCTTTTATCTATTTCTTAGCCAGTGCTTCCTTGAGCAAAACTCAGATTCACAGAAATCCCCATGCATTTGAAGGAAAGAAATTGCTGTTGATTGCCCTTACAAGGTAAAATGGCCATCACATTTTCTAATAATAAAATGATGACTTGAATTCAGAGTGCAGTGGGTAATGAATGGATTTTTTAGTTCAAATTTTATGCAGACTGCTGTGTGGAAATGAAGAGTAGAGGTATTTATAACAATCTGAAACTGCTTCATTTTGGAAGTATATTAATGGAATTAAGCATAATTATGGCTCTCACTAAATTTTCAAACTCATTTTTATTTGATAGGGAATACTAACCACATATGACCTTATCAGTCTGTAATGAATTTATCCTTGGTTGTTGGTGGTGAAGATGCAGAGACCAGAGGCTTCATTCTGAAAACAATTTTATTTGGAAGTATTCTTATCAGCTCCTGACAAAGTCCAAATAATGGACCAACTCAACAATGACAGTTCATTTAGTTATCAATAATTTTGCTGTGGAATATCTTGCCTTATAGAAATAAGGGCACTTATAATACTGAGAGCTGAAGAAGCAAAACTGTGAATATATGCATATCTTCAGTCATAAAAGATCTATATGTAAGCAACCTGAAAAATCCATCACTGTACAACTGCTAAATTAGTAACAGTTTAAATGATTTTAAGACTGCATTGTGGTTTCAAAGGAACAGCTAGCTAAGATTAGCTCATGAATGAACATTTAATATAAAATATGTGGTGGATTTTTTTCTCTTAAGGCTTATTTTATTTCAGAATTATAATGATACAAAATGACTAACGAGTAAAATATAAGTCAAAGAGAAATAGTCCTTTGCTTGCTTTGTTTAGCTGGATGCACAGAGGGTTGGGAAAGTGCTGCTTTGAAACTCTTGAAGAGAGAGCCTTGCAGAAGAGTGTCTTCAGATATCACAGAAAGATTTGTTTCAAATAGCTACTTGTGGCAATGCATTGTCTCTGGGGAAGCTGACATATTCCAATAAGAGATGACACTAAACATTAGGCTTTATATTTTATAATTTTTTATTAGTAATTAAGTGAAAGTGAGAAAGTTCTTTTCTATTTCTTTTTTTCAGATTGCATCTTTATGTTAAGTTTCTCAGCATTCACTCATAAAAAAACACATTAGTAAGAGGATTATGTTTCCCATTCACCTCTGATTATTTTAAATGGAAAAGTTCAAACTAAACAATGAAGCTTTTCTAAATCTGAAAATGTTTCCAATCTAAAGATCCAAAGGCCCTAATATATAAGCTCTGTCTGCATAATTTAGGCAAGACAGTAAACAGCTTTGAGAAATTTTAAGTCATGCTTTCTAAACAGCTTTTATCCTCACTAGATGAAATCTTATAATACCTTGTTGAATTGTTCCATTGTGTTTAAACAAAAACATACAGATTTAGCAGGTGATAAAGAGGACATTAATTTCAAAATATCTAAAAGAAGACAATTCACTACTTAATAGAAAATATTATATTGGACCACCATCTAATTCATGTAGATATGTATTTTATTGGTTAACACTGGTCTGAATTTATTCAGCAAACATCTAATGGGCTAGATGGTAATCCAAAATGGTAACCCTGAAAAAGAGATACTTTGATGTCTGCTATAATTCATATGTTTGTTTCATTAACTGCTTACATTTAATCTGTGTGTGTGTGTGTGTATTTGGCTTGGGTATGGGTAATTTATAATTGTACCATATGTGCCTCCTACAAAGGAAAAATGGGCTCTGCAGTCAGTCCTCTGGACCTCATTAGCAGACTCTGGATACAGTGAAAGGGAAGAGGGAGAATCATTCCTTCTCTATGCACAGGCATGGTGATGTTACCCAGCTGGTCCACCCAGACATCACAAATGCACACCAGTTCTCCAGCTGGGCATTTCCAGGGTCAGAGCGAGCAGATCTGGAAATAAGAAAAACCTATTACCCATCCAGTCCTTTGGAACCAATTCTATACTTATATACACAGCAATCTCAAGCAATCATATCATTTTGATTCCTTTTGAGGTACTTTTTAACATTACTCAGGTGTCCCAAGAGCCTATTTAAATACTTACAAATTGTTCAGTGCCATTTGCCTTTGTGATGGTTCAGAATTTGTTTTCAATTAGTTCAGAAGGTGAAAACTCTAGTTTGGAATTTATGCAAGCTTCTAGAGACTATTGAGCTATTCACTGCCAATGTGTATGTTATTAAAACTACAAAGAGTTCTTGTTGGAAGATGCATCATTAAATAAACAGATTATTTTTTAATGTTTAAATAAAACTCCTTGGAATAATCTCTTTGTGGCAATGCAGAATCCATTGTAATCTTGATAAATCTCTGCTCTAACATGAAGGACATTATCTTCCTTTTACACAATTAGACCAAAATGAAGAAATATAATAAGAATTAAGATTTATTTAGCAGATGCTATATATACAAATTGCTTAATTTAATTCTAATAATAAGCATATGACATTGCTTTTTGTCTTATATTATAAACCAAGAAACTGAGTCTTAAGGAAATGTTTGAATTATATCTGCCTGGCTCCAAATCCTGACCTTTTAAGCTATTTACTCCATGAGGTTTTTTTATATGAAGAAATATCCTGCTAAATAACCAAGTCATCCATCTCTTCCTCTCTCAGCTCTCTCCACGTCTGGTAACATGTATAGCATTGTGCTTTCTTTTTCAATTTGCCACTTAAATAGGTAACAATATCATATGGTGATTAAGATCATGGTGCTTACAGTTTAGTTAAGCCAGAGTTTTCATTCCAGCTCCTCCTCTTACAAACTTTGACCTAGGGCAAATTACTTAATTTTTCTAAGTATCAGCTACTGGTATTTATTTATTTTTGAGACAGGGCCTCATTTTGTCACCTAGGCTGGAGGGCAGTGGTGCAATCACAGCTCATTAGCTAGGACTACAGGCACCTGACACCATGCCACCTACTTGTTTTGTTGTTTTCTGTAGAGATGGGGTCTCACTACATTGCCCAAGCAAGTCTCGAACTCCTGGCCTCAATCAGTCTCAGCCTTCCAAAGCACTGGGATTATGGGTGTGAGCCACCATGCCCCACCCTAAGCATTAAGTCTTATTTTCTATGGTTGTTTTAAAGATTAGTTGAGATAATGTATGCAAAGCATCTAGCGCAGCGCCTTGCATATAATAAACCCTGGCTAAATGGTAGCCAGTTTTGTTAATACCATATCATTTAAATGTTGCTGTGTCTTATAACTCCAATATCACCCTGTTTCTATTGTCACCACATTTTATTTAACTCCTATGCCTAGGATGACACTCATGTCTGTATTCCAAGCCTTTATTTCTCAGTGCCAAGAGGTTAGCTCCAAGTGGCTGAAACAAGTCATGAACATTTAATATGTGCAGAGTTGACTCCAGTAAATCTGAATCAATCACACCCACAGTCCAGTCACTGAGGGACCAAGTCCTAGCAGACACTTAAGACTCTCATTATCTTCAGCCTCCACCCATGACCCATCACCCTATTCATTCTATCTCCCAATGCTCACTTCATGCCGTTGCTGCAACCTTGAGTCAGATGCCAAACTTCTCTTTTCTGCTCTATTGTTTTTTCCTGATTTGTATTCCTGCCTCGAATCCCAGCTCTGCAATGAGACAGATAACAATTACATGTGTTTAATTCTGTAATTCCTTGTGATGGCTCTCCAGTCTATCTAGCAGGGACTCCTGTAGACTGCACACATTTCATGGAATGCACAAAAGAACTCACTGCAAGTTAAGAAGAAAGCATTAGCATTTTCTTTTTGTTTCATAATTTTATTCTTCTAAAATATTTTTGTATATGTATGTAATGCATATATTTTAGAATGTACCTGATATTATAGTAAAGTAGATACAGGTGTGGTCGTTGATTTTATATGTTAAATTTGCCTAGGCTACAGTACTCAGATATTTGGTCAAATGCATCTGGATCTTACTGGGAAGGTATTTTTTAGATGAGATTAACATTGAAATCCATAGACTTGCAGTAAAGCAGATTACTGTCTATAACGTGGGTAGGCCTCATCCAATCAGCTGATGTCCATGAGCAAAAGACTGACTTCCCTTGGGAGAGAGAACGTTTTCACAGACTGCCTTCAGAGTCCAGATGCAACAGCAACTCTTCCCTCAGTCTCCAGCCTGTTGGGCTGCCCTATAAATTTCAGACTTGCTAGCCTCCACAATCATGTGAGCCAATTCCCTAAAATAAATCTCACTAGCTCTCTTTCTCACTTTCTTGAATATATACTCATTGTATTGGTTCTATTTTTCTGGAGAACCCTGACCATTATAACATATTTTTACATAAATACATGTAACATGCTCAGAAGGGTTTCAAAAAAAATTTAATCTGTGCTCAATAATTTTACGAATGGGTAGCATGTTCCCAAAGTTTGGAGACTAGCAGTCTCTATGACAAAGTCTAAATCCCTAAGTGTGAAGGACCTTCATGGGCTGATCCTTGCCGGGCTCCCTAGTCTCCTGGGCTGCCATGCCCCTACACAAGTACCAAGCACTTACCACCTGAAAGCATTTGTGGCTCTTGGAATCTGATAGATTCGTGAACCCTTTTGCATTTGCTAGCATTTTACTCTGCCCTCAAACTTCCACTGCTGCATTTGTCTCATAAACTACAGAACTTTCGCTGGATTCAGTTCATGCATTCTCCCTTTTGAGAAATTATTTATATCCCCTGGACATATTTAGGCTCTCTCTTTTTTCTCTCTACGTGTCCACTATAGACCTAATTATGTCAATTATCCTCTTATTTTGTAACTATTTATTGTCATGTCTTTTCATTAGACTGTGGCATTCTTAAGAAGAGATTGTTTCCTTGTACGTTTTTATATTTTCAAAATTGAACAAAGTGGATAGCAAATATATGGTGAAGTGAGTCAGCATGGCATGACTGCTGTTCAATATACACCCAAGTACTCAATGTCGCATGAAAGAGAGTATGAAGCTGAAAAGGACCTTCGTGTTCTACAAATCCAAACCTTGAGTTTACACAGGAGATAACTAAGACCCAGAGGGATAACTTGCCCCAAATCACAAAGCCAGAAAAAAATAGTTTGTTTTTCATGTTGTCCGGAACTCTTTTCATTACTCCATATGGTTGAGTGGGATATATTTCAGGTGCATGTACATGTTTTCTGAGTGTTCCTAAAACGCAAACATAGGCAGTATGGAATGTGTAATCATAAACTAGTCAACACTCATGAGAAAATGCTGAAAATCTTACTGTGATCCTGCTCTTTACCAGATGACCAGCTATTACAATTTCTTACCCTATGCTTCCCGAAAGAGAGGAAGCTCTGTGGACAAATTGATCTTTTTAGATACTGATCTTGCCATTTGGATATGCTATTTTCAAAGAATAGCACCAATAAATGACATCTGATTAATTTTTTAAGTATAGTTTTTCTTTTCACCATTACTGTTTTGAGCAACAAGAAGAATCTTATGGAAATGTTTAAAGAATATACACCAACAACTACATCTACCTAACTTTACCTAACCCCAAAGCAAACTTAGGGGACATGCTACCCATTCATAAAATTACTGAGCACAGATTAAAATTATTTTGAAAACCTTTTGAGCATGTTACGTCACTCAGTAGGTCATTCATTCATTCATTCATTTTCTCACAAAGCCACAATAATACCATATCTCAAGCCATTTTCTCAAACCACTCTGCAATTGAATATCTAATAGCTTTCTGGATATTTCTGTATGGTGGCTTGGCATGGTTTTGAAATAATCATGCCCAGAGCTAAACTCATTTCCTTTTTCTGAAATATCATTTTCTCTTGTTTTTGTTTGGTATTTTGAATCAGCATGCATGGATTGCTGTATTACATGTACCCAGATAGTCAATTTTGCATGAAAGAGATGAATTACAGTATGTTATGCACTCAGATACTCAATTTTGCATAAAGGAAACCTCAACTCAGTTCGAGTAATCATCAGCTAGTTTCTTTGGTGAATGTATGCCTAAACAAATGAAAATAAACCCTTTCATTTCTACCTCCAACACAGACTTCCCTTCCCAATATTTTTTTCTATTTCTAAAATTGGCACCATATTCTCTCAGATTATCAAGGAAATTTTTGAAATTAGTTTTCCTACCAGGATTAGACTTAAGCCCCAGTCCCTCCTACATGTCCATATACATTGTCCCTCAAGCCTTTTTTCTGACTGAATCTAATATGTTGCTATGAATTATGTCAGCAGTTTGCTCATTATGACTCACAAAAGTATTGACAAAGTTGCTCTGCCTATGTTATTTGATATGGAATCTTCTGTCACTTCTGACCAAGAGGCTACCTGTCTGGCTACTGCTTTTAATTATTCTGCCCATGTTTTGAGAGAGACATTGCTAATGTGATTAGTCAGAGCTTAACCACATTTATTGTGAGCATGGTTATTCTGTTCTAAAGATTAGTATGTTTAAGAGGCATTTCCTTTTGTACTAATTTCTCCCACGTGATCAGGATACCCAAGCAGGCATGGATTTGAAGTAGGTCTGGCCAGGTATCTCTGTTCTTATGTTATCTCTTCCGTGCTAATGAATAATTGATGAGTTAAACTTTGGTCTACTTTGCAGATAGAGTAAGTGCAAATAGAAGAAGGAATCAATAATTTTGCTTTAAGTTATATGCGCAAGTTCAATTTTACAAAGATTCTGTATTTTGAATTTGGAGCACTGATTCAGCTATTATAGACATAATTTTTCACAGTTGATGAAAAATGCTAACATGAATTTAAGAATTTAAACCAAAACCAGTTTAAGATAGCTTAAAGTAAAGCACACCAAGGCATGACATAATTACCTTTTTGAAATGCATTGATATCACAGAAAATCTTACATAACCAGAGGAAGGAAACATTAACTATAAGGGTCCGATGATTCAAATAAGGGCTATATTTTATGTGAAACCATGGAGGTCAGGAGACAATGAGATGACATTTTTAAAGTGCTAAACGAAAAGAAAAACTATCAACCTAGAATTTTATATCTAATGAAAATATTTCTCAGATCTGGGGGCAAAACAAAGTCATTTTCAGACGAGCGAATGATGAGAGAATCTATTGTTAGCAGGTGAATGTTGAAAGAAATGTCAAAGAACGTTTTCCAGGGAGAAGAGTTGATATAGTAGGTGCATATTTGGAGGTACACAAAGAACTGCTGAGAGCTGAAAATGAGAAATATGTGAATGCATATAGTTTTTACATTTTTTTAACTTTTAAAAACGATAATTTAACTTATTAAAGTAAAAATAGCAACATATTGTGTCTTTAAATACATATGAAAGTAAAATCTGTGCAACGAAAGCACAAAAAAAGTAATGAAAACGTATTGTTGTAAAGTTTATATATTACATTTGAAGCGGTACCATATTATTTGAAGATATGATAAAGATACATGTAAATCATAAAACACACACATAACTAGCAAAGCAAAATAGAGTTGTGACTAAAATACCAATCAAAAAGTGGAGAGGAATACTGAAAAACGTTCAATTAACACTAAGCTGTAAAAGATGGGAGATTTCAAAAAACACATGCATAGTTAGAAAATCAATAGCAAAATGGCCGGCTTAAACCAATCAGATCAACAATTGCATTAAATGTGAATAAACTGATAGGACTCAAGATGGCGCTGTGAGAACAACCCGATGGCGCTGTGAGAACAACCCAGGATTGGAGTTCTCGTTGTGTCTGCGGAGAGGTGAGTCTGAGCTGCATTTCCAGACTGATCTTTGTTGCTCACGGAACGGGGAAATTCCCAAGTGAAGAGGAGACGCGGGACGCCAGGCAGATATTCCGCCTGGCGAAGCCGGCAGCCGGGGTGGCGGCGGCCGGCCCTACCCAGCGCTCCCCACAGGGCGCACTTGTCCGGGTGCCCCGTTGAACCGGCAACTGGAGACGTGAGAGGGCTGGACTTGAGACTGAGCTAGACTTGAACAGTGGGCCAGCCCAGGGGATTACAGGAACAGAGCGTTAGGATTGGCCCAGTGGGACGAACAAAACCGCGATTTCAAACAAGCCCCCTGCAGATGGCCCGAGACGCTCTGAGGGGGAGGGGCGGCCACCATTACCGAGGTAGCCCGCCCCAACTGAGATACACGCCCATTGCTGACGCAGCCAGCCCTTGCCAAGGCAACCCGTCCCTACTGAGATACACGCCCACTGCTGACGCAGCCAGCCGTTGCCGAGGCAACCCGTCCCTACTGAGATACACGCCCACTGCTGACGCAGCCTGCTGTTGCCGAGGCAACCCGCTACAACAGAGAGATTCTGCCGCAGGGCGTGGTGGAAAACAGCAGAACAGCGGAGCCAGGGCGAGCCTCACAACAGCAGGGCGGAGCCTCGGCAGGCAAACAGTGGCTAGTCTGCGTCCTAGCTGGGCAGGACCTCAACGGACATCCAAAAATAAAGCCCAAACCCCTCAACACAGAGCATTTGAGAAAAAAAAGGGTTTTTTTAATGAGCTCTGTTGCAGCAGAATCAAACATAGCAGCCTAACAGCCCTGAATGAACAACACAGCTCACAGCTCAGCAATTAAACCCCTATAAAGTACAAACTGTCTCCTCAAGCAGCTCCCTGACCCCTCTATATCCAAAAGACTGACATTAGGCAGGCACCATCCTGGGACAAAGATAGCAGAAAAAGAAACTGGTAGCATCCCTCGCTGTGCTACAGCTGCTAGAGGTGCACCCCAGACAAGCAGGGTCTGGAGCGGACCTGAGCACTCTTACAGCGAAGGGGCTAGACTGGTAGAAGGAAAATCAAGCAACAGAAATACTTCATCATGAACATTCTGGGTGTCCACTCAGAGACCCAAAAGAAAAGTCAGCAACTATGCAGACGACCAGCGGACAAATCCACAAAAATGGGAAGAAACCAGCGCAAAAAGGAGGAAAACACCCGAAACCAGAACACCTCGCCTCCTAGAAAGGACCAAAACTCCTCACCAGCAAGGGAACAAAGCTGGACGGAGAAGGATTGTGACGAAATGACGGAATTAGACTTCAGAAGATGGATAATGAGAAACATTGGTGAGCTAAAAGATCATGTATTAAATCAATGCAAAGAAACTAAGAACCTTGAGAAAAGATTTGAAAAAAGATTTGAGGAAATGATAACAAGAATGGATAACTTAGAGAGGAATATGAATGAATTAAAGGAGCTGAGAAACACAATACGAGAACTTCACGAAGCATGCACAAGTTTCAATAGCCGAATTGACCAAGCAGAAGAAAGAATATCTGAAGTCGAAGACCAACTCAATGAAATAAAACGAGAAACCAAGATTAGAGAAAAAAACGCAAAACGGAATGAACAAAGTCTCCAAGAAATGTGGGACTATGTGAAAAGACCTAGCCTATGTTTGATAGGTGTACCAGAAGGGGACGAAGAGAATGAATCCAAGCTGGAAAATACTCTTCAGGACATCATCCAGGAAAATTTCCCCCACCTAGCAAGACAGGCCAACACTCAATTGCAGGAAATTCAGAGAACAACACAAAGATATTCCGCAAGAAGAGCAACCCCAAGGCACATAATCGTCAGATTCAATAGGGTTGAAATAAAGGAGAGAATACTAAGGGCAGCCAGAGAGAAAGGTCGGGTCACCCACAAAGGAAAGCCCATCAGACTCACAGCAGATCTCTCGGCAGAAACACTACAAGCCAGAAGAGAGTGGGGGCCAATATTCAACATTCTTAAAGAAAAGAACTTTCAACCCAGAATTTCATATCCAGCCAAACTGAGTTTCAGAAGTGAAGGAAAAATAAAATCCTTTGCGAACAAGCAAGTACTCAGAGATTTTGTCACCACCAGGCCTGCTTTACAAGAGCTCCTAAAAGAGGCACTACACATAGAAAGGATCAACCAGTACCAGCCATTCCAAAATCACACTGAATGCTAAAGAGCATCAACATAATGAAGAATCTACAACAACTAACAGGCAAAACAGCCACTTAGCATCAAAATGGCAGTATCAAATTCACACATAACAATATTAACCCTAAATGTAAATGGACTAAATGCACCAATCAAAAGACACAGACTGGCAAATTGGATAAAAAGCCAAAACCCATCAGTATGCTGTATCCAGGAAACCCATCTCACATGCAAGGATACACAAAGGCTCAAAATAAAGGGATGGAGGAAGATTTACCAAGCAAATGGAAAGCAAAAAAAAGCAGGAGTTGCAATTCTCATCTCCGATAAAATAGACTTTAAAGCAACAAAGATCAAAAGAGACAAAGAAGGCCATTACATAATGGTAAAAGGATCGATACAACAAGAAGAGCTAACGATCCTAAACATATATGGACCCAATGCAGGAGCACCCAGATACATAAGGCAAGTTCTTAAGGACTTACAAAAGGACTTAGACTCCCACACAATAATAGTGGGAGACTTTAACACTCCACTGTCAATACTAGACAGATCTACCAGACAAAAAGTCAACAAGGATATTCAGGGCTTGAACTCAGACCTGGAGCAAGCAAACCTGATAGACATTTACAGAACTCTCCACCCCAAATCCACAGAATATACATTCTTCTCAGCACCACATCACACCTACTCTAAAATTGACCACATAATTGGAAGTAAAGCACTGCTCAACCAATGCAAAACAACTGAAATCATAACAAACAGCCTCTCAGACCATAGTGCAATCAAGTTAGAACTCAGAATTCAGAAACCGACCTAGAACCGCACAGCTTCATGGAAACTGAACAACTGGCTCTTGAATATTGACTGGGTAAACAACGAAATGAAGGCAGAAATAAAGAAGTTCTTCGAAACCAATGAGAACGAAGACACAACGTGCCAGAACCTCTGGGACACATTTAAAGCAGTCTCTAGAGGAAAGTATATAGCAATAAGTGCCCATATGAGGAGAATGGAGAGATCCAAACTTGACACCCTATCGTCAAAATTGAAAGAGCTAGAGGACCAAGACCAAAAAAACTCAAAACCCAGCAGAAGACAAGAAATTACTAAGATCAGAGCTGAGCTGAAGGAGATTGAGACACGAAAAACCCTTCAAAAAATTAATAAATCCAAGAGCTGGTTTTTTGAAAAGATCAACAAAATAGACAGACCACTAGCCAGATTGATTAAAAAGAAAAGAGAGAACAACCAAATAGATGCAATAAAAAATGAT